AGATGAGAACTGGCGACTTGGTAGTACAACTTGAGTACGCGGAGTATCTGGGGAGTTGGAAGATGAGAACGGGCGACTTGGTAGTAGAACTTTAGTACGCGGAGCAATCAGTGGAGCTGGAAGATGAGAACTGGCGACTTTGTAGTACAATTTTAGTACGCTTCATTCCAGCTTGCTTTTTTCAGTGAGATTTCACCTGGAGGCGCGCGCGCTGCTTCTCCCCTTACCAGCAGCCCCAATGCTCACGACGATGAGCTGGGCTGTCACCGCTTGGCCGCCGGTGGGGGGTTTGGGAGGCCTGCGCGCTAATTCGTTCACTATATGTACAGTGAAGACCTTCACCAGCAGCAGACATGGACATACGCACACAGACAGGGACTCATACACACTTGAGATATTGTGTACGGAACTGAATGCGGTGCCACACGCCGGCCTAGGGTTCCAATTCCTAAGGATACAGGTAAGAAAGAAGAGGTCCATCGAGTGGAGGTCCCAAAGGAAAACACCGATCGAACGGACGACAGGGTGACGACGGTTCGAGGAGGTCAGTGGAGCTCCCAAGGTCCAAGCACTCAAGGAAAAGCACCGATGCATTAGCGGCTTACTGCAAAACACAGCATTGGAACAGCTTGTCCATTAAGTAGGTTGCTCTCCACGCAGGTACGTCAATCCGGCGTCCCGGATTGATTTCACCAGCACACATCCAGTGTCTTCGTTGGTGCAAGACTGGATGGGCTGCTTGCACCCCCTGCTGTAAAATAAACAAATGCAAAAGCATCCCTATGACTCCAAAAGGTGACACACCCACGCCTCCCCGAGGGGAGGCATCTCTTTGCGCCTAGTAGTGAGGCCAGGAACCCCTAGAAGCACCAAAGTAGGATCCAAGTAGTAAGGCCAGGAGCCCCTAGTAGCAACCCACACTAAGGTCCTGACGGGAGGGAGGGGTAGGGAGAGAAGAGAGAAAGAAAGAGAAGAAAGGAAAGGGGAAGAAGGTGTTCCCAGCTACGACACAGGCGTCCAGGGACACACCAAAGGAAGAGAGGAAAAGGGTTCCCAGCTATGACGAAAGCATCCAGGGACACCCAAGGAAGAGGGTAAAGAGAGGAAAGAGAGAAGGAAAGAAAGAGAGAGGGAGAGAGAGGGAGAGGAGAGAAAGGAAGGTGTTCCCAGCTACGAACAATCGTCCAGGGACACACCAAAGAAAGAAAGGGGAGATCCTGAGTATTCCATTCAGGAAAACCCCAGAAAGCAAAGAAAGGGGAAGGGAAGGGGGAGGAGGGGGGGACTAAGCTCGCGACAGGTTCCAAGGAACCTCAAAAGTACTTCGGTCGCTCTGACCACGTTGAGGCGTTAAGCCAGCTTGGACCGCTGCGGTCACGTAAAGGCGTAAGCCAACTTGGAATTCCAAAGATGGGACAAAAATCATCGGACGTACGGCCTAGGCCACCTACGCTCGCTGCGAGCTGCTCTGTATCCGGGCAATGGATACGTTCGACGTACACCCGTTCGACGGGTCCACGGGAGGCACTCTGCGGGCTCATCCCGGGTTGGCGCGAGGCCAAACACACTTGAGATATTGTGTACGGAACTGAATGCGGTGCCACGCGCCGGCCTAGGGTTCCAATTCCTAAGGATACAGGTAAGAAAGAGGAGGTCCATCCAGTGGAGGTCCCAAAGGAAAACACCGATCGAACGGACGACAGGGTGACGACGGTTCGAGGAGGTCAGTGGAGCTCCCAAGGTCCAAGCACTCAAGGAAAAGCACCGATGCATTAGCGGCTTACTGCAAAACACAGCATTGGAACAGCTTGTCCATGAAGTAGGTTGCTCTCCACGCAGGTACGTCAATCCGGCGTCCCGGATTGATTTCACCAGCACACATCCAGTGTCTTCGTTGGTGCAAGGCTGGATGGGCTGCTTGCACCCCCTGCTGTAAAATAAACAAATGCAAAAGCATCCCTAGGACTCCAAGGGTGACACACAAACACACACACACATCGCACACAGAGACCCACGCACTGCCTCAACTTACTCGGACACACACACATACGCAGACTCATATACACACGGACATAGATACACACACAGAGACCCACACACTACCTCAACTCACTCGACTTAACACTTCACACTGCACACTTAAGAGGTAACTCGCACTCTGACTTCCTACGTGATGAAAAATGCTTTCGGGCCACTCGTCGTCTAGTTGCTAACCCTTCCATGTTTTTGTGTGTTTTGTGTTCCAAAGTGACCCATGTTTTGTGTTCCATTTCGAACTAAAGCCCTGTGTTCCAAAGTGAACTAAAACTTGTGTTCTGAAGTGACCCCGCTTCCTTTCTGGGGCCCAGACTTTTAGACAGTGGCGAAGTTGATTCGCCTGTGCTTCGTGCCAATCTGAGTGTGACCGGTTCGGTTTCGGTGTCAGGCAGATGGTTTGTGATTGGCTTTTTGTTTGTGTTTTCCCTTTTTTTTAGGCCAGACACAGTGCAACCGCGTGAAATTTTTTTTGGCAATCAGTTTTTTGCGCACTTTACATGAAGGAAATTTATAAAAATGTGAATTTGAAACCGGCAGGGGGTATCCTCCAAATGTATTTTTTGCTGTTGAATGTGATGACAGATTGAGAATACTGAATGCAGACAACATGGGGCTGAATCTCAATGGAGAATGGGTCAGAAATTGAGGCCAAGTCCCGTCAATGTCTTGTATTGTGCAGATGCTAAACATCTAATACATGACCAAACGCAAATTTTGAGAAAACCAACATTTTGCTTATTGCAGGGAACCCTTGCACTCAACTCACCACCGCAGAGAGAGAGACCATGGAATTTTGGGAGTTGCAGGACCAAATAGTTGTCTCTTCTTTGTAGTGCAATGTGTATTGAACACATTATGCCTGTTTTATCCTAATGCAGTCATTGGAATTCTTGTTTAAAATGCCGGATCAATGAAGCAAATGCAAATTGAAATTATGTGTAAATGCCTGGGATCTGAGCCAAGCAAACACACAAATACACTTTGGTGTGCCTCCTCGTGCTGTACGATCATGTGCATTCTTGCAAAACAACCACGAGTTTGTGGATAGGGATACTCAGGTGTTTGACTCCGGGAGTATACTATCGGCGATGGCCAAAATTTCTTGCAGTGATGTCATTCAATAGTCCTGTTCAGAAAGATGATGCCATTTCCGATGTTGTCCGCTTTTTGATAACCCACAGATTGCCCTTTCGTTTATTGACTAATGAAGAAGTGCCTAGAACAGCCAAAGCAATGATTCTCGTCTTCCAAAGCAGTCAATTCAAGCGTGTGTGTCGTTCCACTGTTGGGCTTGAGAGTTTGGCCGTCCATCATTCGCATATGTGACCGATGCCAAACCAGTGCTTGATTATCTCCGGAAGGACGCAACAAGCACTTCAACCGATAAAAAATGGCCATAGAAGGAGTATTGCTCAGAGAGACAGTTCGAGGGCCCATTTGATGGGTTGATGGAAGGGAAAACATTGCAAATGTGCTCACAAAGGCTAACGCAGAACAAGACTGTTTTGCAAGAATTTCTGAGGAGCGGCAAGCTGACCCTGGTGCAGACAGAAGGGAACAAGCAGCTCAAAGAGAATAAGCGTTTGCAAACACAAGCTCGCAAGGTTGTTCTCGATGCAAAAACACAAAGTCAACAAAAATATTACGAGTGTGAAAACAACCAGTGAGTTCGAGGCTGCAGTTGTTTTGCAGCCGATTCAAGAACCAGGTGCCAAGCATGACAAAAGCCAGGTGTTCGATCGGGCCGCATGTGCCCCAAGCTCCGGATGACGCGCGCAAATCACAACAAAAATGTACCACCACATGTTTCAATGGCTAATGACATAGTTTCACTTTACTTTCGTGTATCGTTGGTCGAAAAGGTTCGCTTGCCCGCTACCAGTGCGCGAATCCATTTCTGCGGCTTGGGTTTCTTTTATCTTCCACTGTTATGTTTTGAGTCACCACCTGTCATTTGTCCGTTTCCACCACATGTGGTTTAAAAAAACAAGTATATACATATAGCGCTAAATGGATCAAGTTTAGAATCCTTTAGTTGTCAAACATGGCGGAGGGCAGTGACGAGAGGTTCGATGGCGTCCTGTTGAACATCGCACAACAGTCGGGTTCCATCGACAGCATCCTGGACGCTTTCTTCGGCTTCTTGCAGAGGAAGACAGACTTTTTCACCGGGGCGCAGGATGAGCAGGCAGCTGAACAGATGGTGCTCAAGTACTACAAGAAACATTGGAAGGTTGGACAGAAGAAGCGGCAGGAGCAGCAGGAGCGCAATCGAGCTGCTGATGAAGAGAGAAAAAGGAAAGCTGAGGAGAAGAAGCAGAAGGATGAAGCAGAGTACCGAAAGCGGATGGAGGAGGCGGAAAAGAGGAAAGCCGCACCCCAAATAGAGGAAGTCACAGACGAAGAAGCTAGCAAGATCAAGGCTAGCAAAGAAAAGGATGACGAAGAGGCAAATGATGAAGATAAAGAGGATAAAGAGCCTCCTCCACTTGGCAATGGGGGCACCACAGACAAATACACCTGGACACAGACGCTTAGCACGCTGGAGGTCTTTGTTCATGTGCCACCAGGGGTGAAGGCCAAGGAGATCGTTTGTGACATTGGAGGAGATACCTTGAAACTAGGTGTCAAAGGAGCGCCTCTGATTTTGAATGGCAAGATGCATTCAAAGGTGAAGCCTGATGACTGCATGTGGACCTTGATCGACAACAAGACGGTGCAAATTACATTGGAAAAGTTCGACAACATGAAGTGGTGGAATTGTTTGATGGAGGGGGACCCTGGCATTGACACCAAGAAGATTGTTCCAGAGAACTCCAAACTGTCTGACCTGGACGGCGAGACTAGAATGACAGTGGAAAAGATGATGTACGATCAAAGGCAGAAATCTTTGGGGAAACCCACTTCCGACCAGGAGAAGCAGCATGAGCTGCTGGAAAAATTCAAAGCAGTTCATCCAGAGATGGACTTCTCCAAGGCCAAGATCAACTATGGTGGTGGCGGAGGCTTTAACATGTAGACTACCACACCACTGGATCAGCAAGTGCCAAACAGCTTGGGTTGCAGATGTGCCCTGCAATGTCAGTGCGATCTCGAGGGTCAAAAGTCTCAAGCTTTGTCGCAGAAGGCTTTCCATAAAGCGCTAAATCCGTTTTGCTTCATCTTCCGTGGAGTTGGAAGAAACACATGCAGCTGCAGCATTTCAGTGTTTTGGAGGACACATATTTGATTCAACCACCGCGATAGCTTCAGTTTTCAGTGCGAAACAAACAAGATCCAGAATCGCTGATGAATTTTTCAATCAATTCATTAGTTATCCAATGGGTTTGCACGTGATTGTTCTTGAACTACAACCCAAAAAGTTATTTCATGTGCCAAAATCCACATTAAACCGGGCTGTCCTCGTGCTATGCGTGGCAAGAACTTGCACGTGCCTAGGCACGTGGGCGGAATTCAACCCGTGGGCGAATTGGGGTAGTTTTCGTTCTAATCCGTGACACAAGTTGAAGGCTCTCTTGTTCCCAAACAAACAAACAAACAATCAAACAAACACACGAACAAACATTGGTGGTCGATGTTCATTCAATAAGTATGGAACTTTCAGCACCACGGTCAAAACATGGAATTTTCAGGATTGCATGTTTTTGGAACTTGCCCAAACTCTCCAGGTTTCGGTGCCTGGGTGCAGCTTTCTTGCTGATGACACTTGGATTGAAACACTTACTTTGAGTTGCCTTGGCCGTTGATTGTCAAACACATGCCATCCCAACGTTTCTCTTGAGCAATAGGGCCCCAAACAGATTAGACATGAACACATGAACTGCTATCATTTCACCTGAGCTTTGAGGCTCGGAACTGGAAAGGCAGGGATTTTCTGAAGATTATTTTTGTTGTGTTTTATCCTTTTTGTTGCTTTTGTGCACTGGAAACTTGAAGACTTTGATGACATTTTCGACAATTCATGTTCAGCAAGGAAAGGCAGGTAGTTCTGTTGTAGTTCTTTAAGCATTCAGTTGTGTCTTGATTGTATGCGTTGTCCAGCTTCAGCAGCGATGGTTGCAGGTGCTTGTCCCAACAGTGCCATTGAAAAATGGTGCTGAGATGCAACGGTTGGCCTTAGGGCTCTACAATGTCCCACGTGATCAGGTGAAGGTCGGGTTATGGCAACACATTGTTGGAATTTCATTTTTTTATGGATTTACTTTCCTTCCCAGCCTGGAAGTGAAAGATCGAAGAGAGGGATCCGAGGTTTTTTGTCCTTTGAGAGTGAGTCGTAGTTACTGGGATGTGTTGCATGTTTCAGGCTGTGGTCGATGCTGGCTTAGCTGCGGGTCTGCGCCACTTTGACAGTGCTTCCTTCTACAACAATGAGGCCCGGTTGGTTCAATGGAAGATCCTATTGGTACCGGCTGAGGCCATGCAACGAGTGCTGAGGGCACTCTTGGATCGATCTAGTCATGGCTTCCATCGCTCCAGGTGGAGTGTGGCGAGGCATTGAAATCGTGGATGGCCTCGGGCTGGGAGTCCCAGCACTGCTTGAGGCTTGGATGTGTTGATCCGTTGAGTGGCATGAACAAGGTAGAGGCCCCCCACCGGACATTGGATGTTCTTCCTCTCTTGCTTTTTATCATTCGAAGGGCCAACCTGCCTTATCCTCACTGGGTTTATTGTTTGCATGGATGTCCAGCGAAACTGCGTAGAAACCTTGGAAATTCGTCAGAGAAGCCTATATATTCACATCAATTAGCCTGCTCAGCAAAAAAGTGTACCCTTGAACTGTTCGTTTCACCATAGCGAGGCCCGGAGTGTTGATGTAGAAAGTATGAGGCCCATTGAGGCCCACTGCAAGCTGGTTTGTGTTGGGATGTTCTCAGTTGAGGCGATGAACTCTGGTGTAATTATGTGTGGATCGAGTTGGACAAAGGATTCATGAGGGCAGCTTCCGGGAATACAGTAGCTGTCCAGTGACAAGTCTTTCTCCAGTGCCACATGCCTCAATCTGAAGCCACACCATGTATGCTTCAAAGGCAAGTTGGTTCGCAGGAAGCAGTTAAATTCCAAACAATCTCCACAACATCTTGCAGTAAGATGATCTTTTTTGCTTTGCCCAAGCTGGATTTCTCTTTCTGTTCATCGAATGGATAGGTGCATGACTCGCTTCCCGGTTCCAGGTCACGATCGATCGGAGATTTTTGTCACTACGAAGGCCCTGTGACAATCGGTGCCATAGAGGTGAGAGGTGCTGCTGGTGAGTTCATCAATTAAGGTGGAACTGGTCGTGTTTTGGAAGGGACGCCAAGCCAAAACCCTCCAACCAGTGAGTTGGAAGGGACACCCTTAAACACCGGGGTGAAAGAAGGTCTCTTGTTTCGTTTCGAACACATGGACGTGGTGTGACACGGATCTCCCCGATTCCGGTGAGCTCCGATCTCGATCCGTCCGTCGATCCGTTCGTCGATCTCGACCGGTCGACGGGTGGGGTTCGGGAGGTCTGGACCACCGACCTGGTCGACCCCGAGAGCGCTTGCAGAAGCGCCGCCGCTTCGCGGACGAAGCGCCGCGTCGCCGTGGGCGATGGAGGGGCGACTCCACGGACTCGACATATGGTTTGCAAGCTGGCAAACATCGCAAGGAAAAATCCGGGTTTGATTGCGATTTTTGGGGTCAACGCGAGATCTGAAGGAGCAATTCATCTAGCATCTAGCATCTAGCATCCGTTTCGCCCTGCACGGAACCCTGTCACCGTGCTTCTCCTTCCATACTTTTCAAGCATTTCGTCTCCACCCCCCCCCAAACCTCTCGTTCGGCAGGTTTCGTTCGATGATCCGAGGAGATCTCCATTGAGGAGTTGGACATTGGCCCTGTGGATTTAGTGGTGGACCTCAGATTTGTGGGCCCAAATGTTTGTGTGTTCCGCACGTCCTGTGTCGTTCTGAGTTCGGAGCCGATGTTCAAGGTGATGGTCCACTGGCCAATGCCTTCGAAGCACGTGGAGGCGTACGTGGCTTTGGAGAAGCTTGTTCGCAGCGGCAAAGCTAAAGGTTTGGGCGCCTTGGACTTAAGCAGAAGTTCGGAACGGCAGCAGTCGGAGGTGACACGAAGGCTGCCTCATTGGGTTGAAGTCTGGAGCCTCTTTGTTACATCACAGGTTGCATGTGGAGTGTGAAGAAGTAGAGTGTTCTCTATCCCTCTATCCATTGAGAGACCGGCTCGACCATTTCCATGGAACTTTTGACAACAGTGAGCATGAGGTTTGTTGCATGTTTTGGCAGCAAGTGTGGACTGTACAAATTAGGATTCCGATGCTAGACATTTCATCGCGTATTTTGGGCAGTTCTTGGGATCGACATGGATCGACAAACTGACATGTTGTCGACAGGCAATTTGTTTCAGGCATCAATTTACCAGTTGTCTCATCTCCATGGATTCGCGGCATTTTGCAGCGAATGCCCAGCGGCCTAGCAGTTATGCCGTAGCACCAATCCACGACTTTTGCCATTAACTAGCACCTCTGACGGTGCCTTTGAATTGACAAACCCACGAAAAGAATACCAGATTTCCAGTGAATCATGGACATCTGCGATTCATCTCCTGGTCTGTCTATGACTGTCACGGTGACATTCGTTGGGCGGTTTCGAGGCATCTCGAACTACTCTCCAGCGGACTACGAGGAGCTCATGAAGGTAGCGACCATTGAGCCGTCGCTGGGACCGGATCCGACCGGGGGTTTCGGGGCGACGGGGGTTTCGGGGGCGACTCGAGTGACGCGTGTGTTCGAAACTCGATCGATCTAGTTGAAAGGCACCTCTGTAGACCATTTGTTTGGGCACCCCTGTACAGACTGAGAATATCTGTAGAGACTGAGAGGACGGTTTCCTGAGATTTGATCCTTTGGAGCCGACTGTGGTTGGTGAAGCCCGAAGGTGAAGCCGACTGAGGTTGGTGAACACCTTCGAGAACAACCCCTTGCTCTACCGCAAGGAGTGGTGCGACTACTTTCAAGAGAAAGGCCTCATTGTCCAAGCCCGGTGCCACAGTGGCGATAGAAGATGTGAGGATTTGGACGGATTCAAGCGACAGGGTTTTGGATTCTGAGGCTTACAAGCCGTTGCAGCGTGGAGGCGTGTAGCGCAGAGAGAGAGAGAGAGATGATCCAGAAGCGTTTAAACTTGCTTCACAACACCAAGGTTTATCGCAAGGGCCTCCTTGCAATGCATTCTGCACCGATTTGAAAAAAACATCGCAATCACCTTATTTGATTTGGTTGAGAGAATGAGAGGTTCCATTTGTGTTTGAGAGTCTTGAGAGTCTCGTGTTTTAGGCCCTGTTCTGGAGTCTCCCGCGGTGATGGACATTGCGAAGAAAGCAGGGAAGACACCTGCACAGGTTTGCCTCCGGTGGAACCTGGACAAAGGCTGGGTTGTAGAGAAACAGCTGTCTGGGATGGCACCTGAGTTACAGGGCAAGTCTTTAAGAATCAAGCGCGCAGTACATAGAAGCTCTCGGTTGATTGAGTGACTGCTTGATCGAGCCGAGCTCAAATCCTTTTTGCTTTTCAGCAATGCTTTCTGCATCATGAATCATAATCAAGTTCCTTTTCTTCTTTCAATCTCTCCCTCTCTTTGACCATCTCTTCCTCTCTCTCTCTCTCTCTTTTTCTTGAGTTCATTTGTGCCGCAGCACAGCTTGGTTGTCTCAAGACCTTTCAGCTTCAAGGCAGTGACATCACTGCCTTTGTTTTGCCTGTGAAATGTGTCGAACATATTTAACGCCGCTCATGATTCTCATGCCTCTTCTCATTGGCACGGGCAACGCCTTACGTGAATCAGAAGCAAAGCATGATGACTTCCAGGATAGCAACATGACTGGCAATCGCTGTATTGGGTGTGAATGCACCTGGATGCTCTATCAGTGCAAACAGGTTCCAGACCGTGACATTACTTGCAGCAGAGACCGCGGCATTTGTTGCATCAAGGGGACTTTGAGTTACATCACAGAGGAGCGCAACAAGGCTCGGGTGTATGATCACGATGTAGATTATTGCTGCAGCAAGAGGGCCTGGGACGACAACAGGTACTGCGCCCCCTGAAGCAAGAGAGTGCGAGGAAAAGGGTGCATGCGGCCAAATCTGGCATTGGGAGCGGTGATGGTGTTTGGATTTTCTTGATCTTGTGTTCGCTTCCGGCTGATGAAAACCGACCCTGCAGGGAATGCAGTGGTCTTCAAGAGCCTTACTCCGGCTAGGATCCAGGAGAACGCCTTGCCCCCAGGCATGTTTTTGGTTGCAAATTGGATGCACTTTAGTCGAACAACTGGCAAAGACGTAGTTTGCACAGCATTTGCATGTTTTGACAAGCAAGTAGCTCGATCATCTACGGCAGTTACTGACAACATCCACAATTGTTCGACAGGCACAAGATTGAATGGGCAAGCAACAAAAAATTGTATTGGACATCGTAGTAACTATGGTTGAACCACCTGACACCTTCTCAAATGACAGGGCAAACTAGGAGCAAGGACGCTAGTAGTAGCTCCTGGCATTACTACTAGCAGCAAGAAGCTACTAGGAACAAAGGGCATCGCTACTAGGAGCAAGGACGCAACCACAGTATACGAAACCTTCTCCAATGACAATCTCCCAAGCTCTTCCAGTTTACATTTCACACAACAGATCACCTGAGCAGACAACGGGACAACACATTGTCAAGCATTGTCAAAGGCCTTGGCAGATACTTTTACGAACGGTTCCCTTGCGAACGAAGTGCGAATATGGAGAATACGGAGGGCTCGGGGGTACAAGCCTTGCCACAGCACGGGAAATCGTGCGGGCAGGTGTTTGGGGGGGTTGTGGCGGTAGGAGATGTTAGTGATGCCTAGTGATGCGGTTGTTGAAACAAGTCGTGATGTGAGTAGTGCGAAACTCCGAAATCTGCGAAGCCTACCTACCGGAAGGTAGGTGCATAGTGAAGAGTCCAGACATGATGCCCACAACTGCCCGTGCCTATACTGTGTATGATTTTGTGCCTTTTGGTCCAGATAACGGTTCCAAGCACTATATAGCAGGAATAGGGCAGACTATGCATCGGCAGGCAGTAAGAGATTGACGCAGGGAACAAGGGAAGCAACCAGCAATCACAATCGCCAAAGGCAGCACAGTTCGGTGGGAGAGGCACATAAGATCATCGAGATGTTTTCAAGCGGCACGGAGGACACTCTGGGACGCGGAACCCAAATCAAACAGATGACAATAGAGTTTCAATGACACGGACACTTTGGAACTTTGGAAGAACATTAGTTGTTTCATGTTGTTTCCAGTTCACATCTTTCTCCAATTCTTCCTGAGGTGGACGTCTTCGACTTTGGCTTGTCAGCAGAGGAGTTGGCCCAGTTGGATGCTCTCACCACGCCTGAGGTCATGGAGGAGGCCCAACGCCCGGGTGCCTGGTCGTTTGCATGCTGCAAACGACTCAACCAGGTATGGTCTAGGGTCAGGTGACCATGGTCTCTAGATGCTCTTTGGAAGGTTCCAAGCCATGCGTGCTGCTGAATCCAGTCATGGAAAAAAGGATCTTCAAGTTAGACTGCAAGAATGCTAGCTGCACATACGAGGGGATTCATTGGAAGGATCGTAAAAAACCTGCAGCGACATACCTTACATGTCTTCGCTTGGTTTGATGGAACAGCTTGTTTACATGTTATGTTCCCAGACCCAAACGCAGACTACATGTTCATTCTATGTGCAATGTGCTCAAGCTCTTGCCCAAGCACTAGAGTGTCCCCGAACAGGGGCACAGGAGCCTGCTGAACAGAGTCAGGTGATCTTTCTTGTGTGCTTGGCAATGGGCTGTGGAGCTTCTAGAGAAAGCATGAACTTGTCACGGGTGGTTCCATGCCATGTGGCAGAAGTGAGCAGTGACAGCGGTGGGAAGCCAAAAGCAGCAGAAGCTTAGAGCCTGATTCTTCCTTTTTTTCTCCGTATCTTCATTATACATAGACGCACACTTGTTTTCATCAAGAAAAGACGTAGGACGGGCAATCAACTGTCAATGTTTTGTTCCCACACCTGAGAAATGAGGAGCATCGAGCAGATGCAAATGCACCAGATCCTCCACCTCACCAAAAGAACCTTCCTCCGCCGGTTCGGGAGCCAGTGGAGTTAAGCTCCAAACCCCACTCCCCAGCTGAAGCTCCGGCGGAAGCGGAGGCTCCGGAGGCTCTGGAGGCTCCGCGTTTGGACATCGGAGATCAGATCGAGTTCGATGATGTGAAGCTCAGCACATACAGGTCATGGACCATGCCCGTGGATCCTCCTCCCCGAAATCAGCCCTTGCCGCCTGGCCCCAACGAACACATGAAGAATGTCCATCGCGTGCTCAGGCTTGCACGGGCAGCCCAGAGACACCCAAGAGCTTTCAGAGTGATCCTGGGAAGAGATCCAGAGTCGGACGAGGAGGTTTGAAGATCTAGGCATTAAGTGGATGGGTGTGTGGAAATAACCACATGCATCCCATATTGTGCCCAACATCCTCAAAGGATGTTTTTCATCAATGAGTTATTAGTTATTTGACTCTGTAGCTATTCCTGTCAGCCCTAAGACTAAGTGGCAATGCCACTTTATGGCACACCACAGCGCTTTTCCCCTAGTCAGGTCAGAAATATGATCTGACTACGTGCTGTCAATTGTGCGAGCTGGACATCAAAAAGCTTTAGTTGGGCGTGTCAGCATAGACATCCATCGAAGGTCAATTTCCTAGTACGCGGAAATATCAGAAGACCATGTGGGCAAACAAAAGGTCTTGCAGCTCACTATGGCACTAGAAACGGTCCTACAGGACTCACGGGACTCACAGGCGCAAGTCGATTGCCCAAAATGGAGGGTCAAGGATAGATCATCGAATCATCAGAAGTTTGTTGAATTTCCGAGCCATAGGGCCACTTGCTTTCCATAGCCTTTACCTTTCCTTGCTTTCCTTCAACCGGGTCTGAGGCCACTGGGAGAAGCGCCGCTGCGGGACTCCTGCTCCCTGGGGCGAGGGTAAGAGGCCCCGGCGCCAGGCGAGCGGGGATGGAGCCTCAACTGGTCACGCCAGACCCTTGGCATCCTTTGCCATCACCGTCTTGGGGTGTTTGGGGGGGAACCTGTATCCTCTCGGCATGAAGAAAACCATCGGTCACTGACCGGACTTGGAGCACGAAAAGCAACCAAAACCCACGAATAAACTTACCAAGGGTGTCTCATGATGTAGGTTTGCTTCAGCATTGCATAGTGGGCCTTGCACTGCGCTGTCACTTTGCACAAGGTAACATCAAATGTCTAGGTAATCAGCCACAGGCCGTAGGCTTTCACAAGATCTGGAACCGCCTAGAAGTGCCCCGGTGCTGTTGAGCACTTGCTTGCCAGGAGATTTCTTCATGATGCTGGATTCTCAAGTATGCAATCCAAAAAGTTGCAGGGCTTGTGGAACGACAAGTGCGGTCAAGACCTGGAGGCCTTTATGAATTTACAGAAGGAGCACTAGTGTTTGAGAGACAGCGCAATAGCTTTTTGATCAGAAGCGAATAGACATGTGAGAGACTTGAAAGCGGAAGTCAACAATGGGCCAACGAAACCCAGAAGTTGGGGTCGCACCCCCCAGAAGTTAGGTCCAGAGGTTAGTGATTCAGGGTAACCTATGTGCTTGTGTCCACACTCCAAGCACCCAAATAACCAGCTGTGGAAGACGACAACCTGATTAGAGTCTCTTGGAGATGATCCTTCCACGTCTTTTCAGTTCAACTTCAGCCCTCCGCATCTCTTCTTGGCTCGGGACGCGCTGCGCGTCACGCAGACGCGGCGCTTTTCCGCGCTGGGGCTTACGCCCTCCACGCTGTCGCCATGCCATGCCTTACGAGCGGAGGTGGTCGCGCCGATCCTCAAGCCGCACCTCCTCGAGGTCCTCATCTCGGTCTTCGAGGCGACGGCGATCCAGGTGGGAAGCTGGACTTGGATTTTTTCGACATTTGGTGGATCAAAGTGGTGGACACCAAAGACTTAAGAGAAGGGGGAATGAAGAGATCATCGACATTGAAGGGTGCATCATGCCATCATGAAACCTTTCAAGCACATTGTTACGAAAGCCAGCTGACAAGCTAGGCTGAAGTTCTGTTCTGTAGGCGAACGAAGTGAGTTTTGAGGGTGTGGTGGGTGGTCGAAAAAGGACAGGTTTTGGAAGGGCGAACCCAGAGCCTGCTAGGGGAAGGCAAAACATGCGTCAGTAGAATGCAGCAACGGTTGATACCCTCTGCTATTTTGCTCAGGAAGCTGACCATGGAAAACAACGATACAGAAAACTTGTAGGAGCAGCAATCCATGGAACACCGTTGGGGAAGGACGCACTAGCTACATGTCTACAGGCTGGTTGAAATGATCTTTTGCTTTCCACATTAGCGTGATTTTTGTAGGTGGCCGGAGTCGCGCGCGCCTTCCATGTTATTGTGTGGTCAGACCCCTGTCAGATCACTTACGCCAACCTGGCAGCTAGAACATACCGGCTTGAGGTTTTGTTAGCACACCCTATTGTATTCTCAGGCTTGAAGGCTTGAAGTTAACATAGTGAAGTGTACCAGTATCTTTTGCATTATCAACTAAGCATGACGGCGCCTTTTGCAGCATCAGCTGGGCATGACAGCATTTTTTTGGAGTGCTTTGGCAAGTTTGGGCACGAGAAAGCGCCCTGCTTTACAGCATTTTCGTGAGTCAAGCCATGTGTGAGTCAAGCCTTACGTGAAAGGAACGATAGTGTGAGCCACAGAGATCTACATGCAAGGAGTCGAAGAAGAGCTGCATTTCTGGTTTGGTGCGCTTACGCGTTGTGTTTGAGGGCCGTCTCGGGGCATAAAAGGGCACCTCTGAATAAGTGGGCGCAGCGCCAAGGCTCTGTGTCGGGCAAAATAACATGTCCTAATAGCGGGCTCTATAGCGAGAAGGCCCCTGACAAAGCGGGACGCAGCAACAAAAGTTTGTCTCGATGCAGGAAGCCGGCTTTCTAGGTTGGTGCCTGGTGTGTTTGAAAACCGTCTCGAAGCAAAAAGGGGCACCTCTGAGAAAGTTTCGACGCAAAAAGCAGCAGGTTATAGCGAGAAGGCCCCTGACAAAGCAGGAGCACATTGTCGATGCAGGTATGAAGACACTGTGACTTGCAGAGACCAGATGCAGAGAGTCGAAGAAAAGCTTTGATGGCGCACTTCGCATTTGCAAAAGAAACTTGAGGGCCGCTGCTGGAGATGAATTGTCCATGCAGACGTGGAAAGAAACAGTGGGTCTAGATGCAAGGAGTCGTGTTTTTTTGGATGGTGTCCTTTTGTGTTTGATGGCCGTCTTGGGGCAAAAAAGGGCACCTCCGAAAAAGTGGGTGCTAGCATTACGTTCCCCAGAAACGACATTGAGCATGAATTTTTGGGTGGCTTTTTGCTAATGTTTGATGGTTGCCTCCGGGAAATAGAGGACACCTCCAAAAAGCGGCCCTCGCGAAAAGTGATATAAGTGAATCTTGTGAACGCAGTGGGTCATACCAGGGGATTCTGTGCGGGAGTGTTGGAGACTGACCCGTCTTGGCGTAACCTGTTGACCTGTTGACCCTGTTCCAGGTCCCGCCGCCGCGACCGCAGCCGCAGCCGGCGCCCCTTTCGACCCTTCCGTTCCCGGGAGCGGTCCCCGCGGTCCCCGCGCTCGGAGCGCTCGGACCGCTCGGCGCGGGAGCGGAAGAGCCGGATTTGCATTCACTGGGAGCGCGGGCATTGCGGGAAGGGCGAGAATTGCAACTTTGCGCATGGAGCACATGAGTTGAGCTCTGTACAGGCAAGTGAGAAATTGGATGTGGTTTGAAGGAGTGGGGAAGGGTAAGGGTAAGGGGCGCATTTTGGCAAGAGCAAAGGCCATGAAAGACCCAACCTGCCAAGAGCACTTGGGCATGAAGGTAGCCATAATCTACATAAAGGGCCTGAAATGTGAGCGCTGGCCGGTCCGTCGCCGTCGTTTGGCCAGAGCGCTTGCCGGTCAGGGAGGCACTTGGAAGACGGTCCTTTGCAAGCACTTTGAGAATGGCACTTGTTCACGAGGCCGGCGGCAGTTGGGGAGTGCGAGTCTTAAGAAGGGGGTGATCCTATTCCAGCAGCTGTTTTGAGGTAGTCTGTGCTCATTTGCGCACGGCGAAGAAGAGCTTAGAGAAACTCGACCGCCAATTGCGCCGTGTGTGGTGTTTGGAGACAACCATTTAAACATATTGAAACAATTATTTGTTAACTGGTTGGAACTATTGGTTGGAGATTTCATGTCCATTCCTGTCACGTTTTACGATGATCCCATAAAAACAGTGTTCCTGCAGCCGATGAGGGTGCTCACACAGTCTTGGGCTCTGAGGACACCTTCAAGACCGTGCGCTGCAAATACTACGAGCGCGGAGAATGCAGGAGCGGCTCCAAGTGCAAATTTGCACATGGCTCCAAAGAGCTTGTCAAGATGGAGATCCCAAAGATTGAGGTCGGTCCGGGGGAGCTTGGCCCTGTAACGGTCGAGGTTTCCCCGCGTGCATGTCACGAAGTGAACATGTTTGTGACCGCTTCGATCACCTCCAGTGGTCAGTTTTCCGCAGTCAGGGGATCGTCATCGGAAAGAATGTCATCAAGAATTCTTAGGTGGTCAAGCATTGCAACATCCTGAATGAGTGTTTCTCCCCATGTCATTGTCCTTATCCTTTTGACCGCCATGTTCCAGGTATGAGTACATGCCCCGGACTGAAAACAATTAAAAAGTCTTGAAAAGAAAAAATAGCAAAGAGTAGATCTTAGATAATAATTCAATAAGCAGAAAGACAACGATATGATGATATGATTATGTATTAATGCCAAGACTAATCAGAGACATACTGTATTATATTGATATTTCATTTATGGATTCTTTTTTTTCATTAGTTGATATATATAAATACACATATTATATTGTATATTTTACTATATACATATATATATCATTGTAATGCTAGGTGCAGAGTTGTTGACTACAAATAGTTCAAAAAAAGTGTAATGATTGTAGAAGAATTCAACTGGACAATGTTTGATTGTACGGAATATACAAATCTCTAAGATAGACTTATAATTGATCGTGTGACCTTCTATCTACGATGCCGCAACCTGTTTCTCAAGCTTCATGGA